CGTGTTTCAGATCAGGTTCCTATTGATAACTTCTATCTCCCCTTCTTAACACGTACACGTGTTTTCGGATAAGGTTCTGATTGATAACCCTCTATCTCCCCTTCTTAACACATGCACGTGTTTTCAGATCAGGTTCTTATTGATAACCCTCTATCTCCCCTTCTTAACACATGCACGTGTTTTCAGATCAGGTTCTTATTGATAACCCTCTATCTCCCCTTCTAAATACATACACGTGTTTTCGGATCATGTTCTTATTGATGACCCTCTATCTCCCCTTCTTAACACATACACGTGTTTTCAGGCCCAGTGCGAGGCGTGGGACAATGTTCTGTCTATTCTTGAAGATCCGATTGAATGCAGGCGAGAGGATGCACGCAAACAATACACATTTAGCTCATGGAATGTAAGTATCACATTCCAGCTGCAAGTGTGTATTGTTTACCTAATGAAGTCTGACATGTAGAGTGCACGTAGAGACTCGTTGAGAAGTATAATCTGCCGATTGTGTCTCTCTATGAACTCTACCTGTGTTCGTGACCTTTATCTGTGTATATAGTCTCTATATCTGTCCTCAGTCCTCCTTCCGTGTCCGTGCAGACAATACTCGTTTTGTTTGTGCGATGCTAGCTTCACGTACCGGCCTGTCGTTCGGCGGTTTACTGAGTTGCTAAAGTTCTGTACCAAAATACATCATAAGATTTTATCTAGGCCGACGTTTCAACGTTCATGGAGACCGTATGGTTCTGGTTCCTGGGTTTGCTTTTTGAGCTGTGCTTCTTTGGCTAACCCAACTTCTCTTCTTCTTGCCTCCACGCACACATGTGCCTACCCTCTCCTTTGCACGTGTCTGCTTGTACGCACACACATATGGGTACAAACACTGTACACACGCGCGGCTACGTCTGTGTGGGCAGTCCAGCAGCGCTATACACTTATTAAGGGGAGAAGCTTACAAGGCCAAGGACAGAGTCAATCCAGCCATACAGTGCTTCAAAGCGGCCGTGCGTGCTGATCCCTACTGTCACGAGGTAGTTGTGATTTAACAGTTCTCTACACTCTTGTATTGACATGCGATAGAGTACCATTCATATTGTTCTGTTGTTGATAGGGGTACTGGCATATAGTCTATTACTTATGGTACTCTACACTGTGGTTTTTGGTTTTGTTTTTTATGTATATATATATCTATATATCTATATCTATATATATATGGGTGTATGTATAAGTATATGTATTTGTATTTGTATTTGTATTTATATATATATGTATATATATAAACTATATACATGTGGTATATATATATATATGTGTGTGTGTGTGTGTGTGTATGTGTGTGTATGTGTGTGTGCGTGTTATGAATATGTTATATACATAATATTTTATCTAATACGCCGCTTCTTCTCTCCATCTATATCACCGCCTGCTTGTCCACTTGGCATTGCGAAAACATCCCAGGCGTTCCGGATATTGACGTCTAATTATTACCTTGACCAATCAGAAGGTATTTTTATAGTCTCTTCAATTATTATACCTTGCGTGATGTGTCATGTTGGCCTGTAGAGCATCTTGCACCCTGATCTCGTCGCGAGTTTTATAACCGTGTGGGGATAAACCAAGTTATCTGGTACCCAATTGGAAGACAGCGATGCAATAATTCTCCGAAAGAAGCGACGAAAGTAGATGCGCTTCTTCTTTTTTTCACAGTCAGAACACCACTCTAACACACACACACGCACCTACGCATACACTCACACTCACACATTCCCCCACCACCTCTCTCTCTGTCTCACTCTCTCTTTCTCTCTCTTTCTCTTCTGCTGAATCTTTCACAAGAACTGTTACACATGCGCTTTTATGTGCAGGTGTGCGAGAGGAGCTAGAAATGTCCTGTCTTGTTTGTTTCAAACACACGACCCCAACAAGAACAACTGCCCTACCAATAGGCTTTTGTTGTACGTTAACACACCCGGACAACTACGCCAATGTGCGCTATAACATCATCTCTAACGATTGTCAGCTTACATTCCAAGCTTGCTTTATTTCTGTGCCGCGCTTTTGATTATTTATGAGAGGAGAAATATATATATATATATATATTTATATATATATATATGTTTGAGATTTTCTTCGCACATTCGTATAGATGTAACCAACCCGAAGTGTCCCCTACTTCGCCTACCACAGAACAAGAGCTGTTCAACCACATGTTGCGGCAGTGTGATGACGAGGGGAGGGACACACTGCGCTTCCTCTACGGCGGCATGATCCGAAAGGTATGTATATATGTATGTATGTATGTATATATGTATGTATGTATATATTACACAATAGTGTTGTGGCTGTCTGTGTGACGTACTTACGGCGGCGGATTGGTATTGGGCACACACGTCCCTTGCACGTGTGTACAGCTACGCGTTGTTTGGTATTGGTAGACGGGTGTGTGGATGTACCGCATCCTGCGGTTCTCGATTGAGTTGGTCGTACCTGTTGAACAGTAGCATCTGTGGGTTCCCTTCCCGTGTTCTAGTGCTATGATGTTGATATAATGGCAACCGTGACGCATGTCCTATGTCTGGCGGTGTCTTGGATCGACGCTGATGCCGCTTGTATGTCTCGAGCCAGTGGGCTGCTTATACTGCCATATAGCAGGTGAAAGTGGTTTCCTATACATATCGAGCTTTAAGTAGTGTATGTAACAAAGGTTGGTTCACGCATGAGCCTACTTACTGTCGGACTATACATAATGAGCTTTAAGTAGTGTATGTAACAAAGGTTGGTTCACGCATGAGCCTACTTACTGTTGGACTATACATAATGAGCTTTAAGTAGTGTATGTAACAAAAGTTGGTTCACGCATGAGCCTACTTTCTGTTGGATGAGTTTGATTCATACATCGGGGTTCGGCACGGTTGCTGGTGCATGTATCTATCTATCTGGAAGTGTATATTTACAGTGTTTAAATTCCCCTGTTAATTTGTTCCGTTGGTTTTAACTCACCCACCCAAGTGCTTAAAGACGGTTGCTGGTGCATGTATCTATCTATCTGGAAATGTATATTTAAAGTGTTTA